CATTCCGAAGTTTATCATGTCTGCTCCAGTATCTCCAAACCCTGGAGAGGTTTTGTTGACAGAGAGAAATGAGGTTTCTGCTTTAAAAGCAGGTCTGCTGAAAGTTAAATTTCTCAAGGGATTATCTGCTAGGCAACACAAGAAGGCATGTCATGAAGAGGAAGGCAGTGATGGAAGGAACTCGGTCAGAAGTGAGGACACCGATTATGGCTATCCACTCGACACGGATTCATTTGATGATTCAGACGAAGGAGATTCAGAGGAAGGAAAGGAGGATGAGAGTGTACGGAAGTCATTCAGTTATGAAACACTTGCATATGCAAACCATGCTAGTGGATCATTATACTCAAACACAAGCAGCAGCGAAGACGAGGATTTAGTCCATCATAGCAATCATATTTCAGATGCAGGGCACGGATACCCTGCGGATACAACTGCAGCACTACAAAATCAAACTGCAGAGCAGAGTTCAAAACGCAGAATTCTCCCCTGGAAGAAGAGGAAGTTGAGTTTCAGATCTCCTAAAACCAAGGGAGAGCCGTTGCTGAAGAAACATTATGGAGAGGATGGCGGGGACGATATAGACTTTGATCGCCGACAGCTTTGCTCATCTGATGAGTCTTCTTCAGGGGTAGGTGTCCGTTTTTCTTGCTTTCTTTGTCATGTTTGATTATCCCAGTATCCAAGTGCAATTTGTACTATTATACTTCTTCACCAGTGTGCCTGTCGAATTGAAGATAGCAGAGCTTGATAGCTTTCTTTTGTAGCTACTGTACTTGTAAAGTTGTATCAATTGTCTTGCTGATTTGTGTAATTCTTGCAGTGGTGCAAATCTGAGGAAGGTTCTGCAAATCAATTTTCCGAATTTGGAGACGACAGTTTTGCTGTGGGTAGTTGGGAGCAGAAAGAGATAATAAGCCGGGATGGACAAATGGAGCTGCAGACTCAGATCTTCTTTGCTTCGATTGATCAACGAAGTGAACGAGCTGCAGGTGAAAGTGCTTGTACAGCGTTGGTTGCTGTGATTGCTGATTGGTTCCACTCGAATCCTAAAGATATGCCGATCAAGTCCCAACTTGATTGTCTTATCCGTGAAGGTTCACTGCAGTGGAGGGATCTTTGTGAAAAAGAGACCTATAGGGAACGTTTCCCAGATAAGCATTTTGACCTCGAGACAGTCCTCCAAGCTAAAGTGCGTCCACTCTCAGTAGCCTCGGAAAAATCATTCGTTGGGTTCTTTCATCCCGAAGGAACCGAAGAAGAGGAGGGATTTGACTTCCTTCACAGTGCCATGTCTTTTGACAACATTTGGGATGAGATTTCTAAATCTGCTCGAGAAACTCCTTGTCATGGAGAGTCCTTTGTTTACATTGTGAGTTGGAATGACCACTTCTTTATCCTCAAGGTTGAAAAAGACGCGTACTATATCATTGACACACTTGGCGAGAGGCTTCTTGAGGGTTGTAATCAGGCTTATATCCTCAAATTCGACAAAGACACGACAATTTTTCAAGTACCTAGCGAGACTCAACAATCAGAGGATAAACCATATAGCAATAAAAAGGAGCAAAGTGATATGAAAGAGGCTGCCGATGAAGGCAAAATTGTCATTAGCACCAGTGGCACAGTCAAAATGCAGGAAGAATCAACCTTCGTCTGCACGGACATGGTGCCTGAAAACAAAGAAGAATCCAGCATCGTTTGCAGAGGTAAAGAGGCATGTAAAGAGTACATTAAGAGTTTTTTGGCGGCAATCCCTATTAGGGAGTTACAAGTTGATGTGAAGAAGGGTTTGATGGCGTCTACGCCCCTTCATCAGCGGCTACAAATTGAGTTGCATTACACAATGAGCTTTGACCCTAAGTTTGAGTCATCTTCAGAAGAACTGACCGCTAACAGTTTGGCCATACTACCGTCAGCAGCAGAGTAAGTGACGAAACGACCAATAAAGCTTTACAAGTGATATTACATAATGCTAATCCCTTTTGTGTTTCTACATTTCATTTAGGAATTTTGAAAAGCTAATTGTTGTTATAGTGTTCCCTAGAGGGTGTTTGTCTTTGTTTATCTTTTTTCTTCCTATGCATAAACAACTACCCAGTAAAATCCCACATAGTGGGGTATGGGGAGGGTAATGTGTACGCATACCTTACCCCTGCCCCGATCTTCTTCCTATGCATGGGAACAATAATGTGAATAACTATGAAACTGCTCAAGACTACGCCTTTCTCTTCTCTCGAAGAGGGAACAGAAAGTTGGCATAAATGAATATATGAGTTCCATACTGTTCTTGAGTTTTGTTTGTTTTAGTTTATTTTTATTTAAAAGTATCACATTGATTGAAGGTTCTTGCTTTGGATTTTAGCCGACTGATCCATTGAGGCTAATCGTACTTGCGTGAAAATGGTGTAAATGTATGAACAGCCACAGAGACAGAAGAATCTTAACAACAATAAATTGATGTTTCTGGTTCTATATTCAATTGTTGGGGGTAGAGCCTTTACCCAAGAAAAGGACTATTGATGAAACACAGAAGCAAAGTGATAGTTTATAAAATAGGTCTCATATTTTTTGGGTGTGAAGTGATTGATATGGCATGCCACTCGCAAGCGGAGCTAGAAGCCCAGATATAGGTTCGGCTGAATGCAGTAGCTTTTGCTCAAACAGTATATTCGTGTTAAGAAATTCATTAAATATTTACTATTTGTAAATTTAGAACCTAGTTATTAGTGTTTGACCGCTGTTCTAAAATTTAAAACCCACAAAGTTGAAATCTTAGCTTCGCCTCCGATGCAACTTAAGCAATGTGCAAAAAATGCAATCGCATATATACTTTCTTCCTGTGAGAGTGACTTTTAAAGGGAATAGTTGAGTGACTTTTATGTAACAAAATCAATAAAGAGTAGTGACCTTCCAGTAATAAACTAATACTTGGGATGACCACCCATGAAACTTCCCGAGCAAAAGCTATTATCCGTTGCACTAAAGCAGCTGTATATCAGGAATCTAAACTCTTTTGAGTGAAATAATTTAGAATTCATCCCCTCTCATATTGATTGCTTAGAGTTAGCCATGGGCATATATTCTCAGCTCTTGATTATATGTCTGGTGTCATATTAGTTATTTCTCAATTTGAAGTTTTGTGCTGTTAGGCAATAGTTATGGTTGGAGATTAATTGGCATGACTAGGACAATTCTAGGGTGGTTTTATGTGATCGCATAGTTCTTACCTATTTTTTCAAACTTTCATGTATCTCAGAGGGATATCCTTGGTTAATTTCATAATGTACTCTATTCAGAGGGTCTTTTAGAGGCTTTATTCTACAACAGTCAATTTGATTTACTAGGATCGAAATCTATCATTTATATTTATTTTGTGAAGTTTTTAACACATATACAAAATTCGAGCCAAAATTATTAGGTTCAAATGAACATAGTAGTTACTGTCTAAAGATGCTTGACTAAGGATGCCGCTTTAGCTTGTCAAGATTAGGCTCTTGTTTTAGTTCTTCTTGCATGTATAGATATTTTTGTAGTTGGTAGAACATTTCTAATGTGATGAGATGAATGAAATTAATTACTCCAATAAGGATAAGATCCATCAAAATATTATTCTTTTCAATTCATTTGTTTTAGACCATCTAATTTTAATTTTTATTTGTCTAATATGTTATATAGTTATATAAAAATATAATTTATTGTTAATAATGTAAAATTTTAATATATATGTGTCGTGATGACATATGAAATGATATAGCACCTTCATAAAATCACAAGAATACTTTAAAAAGCTTATTAGCATAAGTAAAGGATACCAACCAATAGCTTTTAACAACAAATTATGGCACTAACAACCAATAGCAAAAGCTATTATCCGCTGCACTAAAGTTGTTGTAGCTATCAGGAATCTAAACTTCAATAGCAAAAGCTATTATAGAGTGTAACGAATGGAAAGAACGACCAAATCTTCGTATTGCAATTTAACTCCAAAATTATGTTTTACTTTTATTAGGACTCTTTAGTTGTTAGTAATGTCAGATAGGCCCTAAGTCATTTTAGGACTTTATATTCAGATAGAAAGAGCATTAAATCTGAAATTTTAGCTTTTAATTTCTTTTCTCTTTTTCTAGTTTCTCTTTCAAGTTTCAATGGTGAATCCACCGTGGGATTCGCCATATTTGGTATCAGAGCTGACGATTCTCTGCCCCAATTCCGCTACCATGTTCAACCAGGCAGCCGTGGATGATTCATATTTCTATGGTTCACCAAATTCATATGGTTATGAGTATTACCATGGATATTCACATTCTTATTCGTATCCGGATCCATGTGTTTATCAGGTTGACAACACCAATCCGGGTTTTTATTTTGTTGAGAGTTGTAGTTCGATTATAAGCACTTATTTTGAAGCGTTGAAGCTATTATGGTTTTCAGATAATATGGTTACTTTCAGTCAGGCCAAGAAACACGATCAACAGTGGATTGAAATCACAGAAAAGGACTGTGAGATTCAACCTTTCATAGTTCATTACACCTTCATATTTTATCTCCTTAGAACTGGTTCTTCGAAAGAAGCTCTCAAGCTTGTTAAGTGTATGGCATTTTTCTCCATTGCTATTAACGGATCAATTATTGTTTGAGTAGAATATCAGAGAGAAATGATAGCTACAACTTCTTATATTTGTATGGAGCTCCCTACCACGTGCAGACAAGTCAATGTTGATAGTGCCGAAGAGGGTGCTGCTGAAACAATGCAATCAGAAGCTTATTGGAATGTTTACAAGGTGATGGGATGTACTAATGAAGTGATTCCAACTCACTTCTTTGATGTGGAGTCCCCAAGAGTTTTGTGGAGTTCTTGTGTGAACTCATTAGTGACCACTAATTCTGCAACTTTAGAGAAATTTTTGAAGAATCTGGAGTGCGAAATAATATCCTCCTGTTTGCACATCTTCATTCAGCACATTTACATTCACGGCTTTAAAATAAATGAACCAAGTATTGTTTTTGAAGCTGGAGGAGGCATCCTTGCGGGATCATGTGAAGACAGTAATGATTTCTTTGAGGTGTCTGCTTGAAGTAACCTTGAAGGTGATACATTTAAACTAAAGTTCTTGGTGAACTATATTGTGTTGAATTGTTCTTCTGCGAAGTCGATGAAGTCCAATAAGTTTGTAATGTAGGAATGCGAAATTAATTCATCCAATGCAGTAACTATCAATAGGATTCTAGACTCACTATGGTCATTGTTACTCTCGTTTTACAGTTATCCTGTGGAGAGTAAGGAATTCTTTAAAGATCTATGGAAGTTTCTTGTGGATAAATAAGGTAACAAAAGTTTTGCCATCTGTTAATAGAGTGGATGCGCTGACATGGATTAGAGTCTCGTCCCTGATTACATCATTTGTAAATGTGTACTCAAATCTCGAAGCTACGGATATTGTCCTAACAATTTGCTATGAATTGTCAAAAAGAAATATTAGTTGTGGGACATTCATGATATCATATTATGTCCACAATGCACAACAAGAAGTTTCCACTGGAAACAATTTCGTCTCGGTTTCTAGTACAAATGATTTGCTTGAAAGAGTTCTAGTTGCTTCTTCTGTTAGCGATTGTATGGAGTTGATTAAAGTGCACATATTTGTAAAAACCAGTTATCAAATGGTATCCTGATATTGTTTGGTGCAATTCTTGTTTTTGTGATGCTATGAACATAAGGTATGCACATTATTTTCCACAGAAGTTGCCTCATAGGTCTTTAGACCATGAATTGGGTGAGGACAGAAATGAGGTTACCATTGGAGAATTTATCAATCTTGGGGATGATAAAGCTTGTGTTGTTACTACAGAGAAAGCATTAGTTTATGCTCTATATGAGTCCATTATTTTTGCGCCACGTCCCAATAGGCCTGCAAGTCTTCACCAGAGTGAATTTGGCAAGGATATACTTTCAACTGTCAAAGGAAAAGCTGGTAGTATTATCCTCTTGATCTGGAGGAATGTTGCAGTTTATTTCACTTACCCTGCGGATTTGCCCCACAACTTTTGCTTATCAGCCTTGAGGACAAGGTTTCTATAAGGGAGATGGAATGTAGCGAATGGTAGGAACGCCCAAGTCTTCGTATTGCAGTTTAACTTCAAAATTATGCTTTATTTTTATTAGGACTCTTTAGTTGTTAGTAATGTCAGATAGGCCCTTAGTCATTCTAGGACTTTATATTCATATAGAAAGAGCATTGTCATGGTATGTTGAATGAAAATCTGAAATTTTAGCTTTTAATTTCTTTTCTCTTTTCCTAGTTTCTCTTTCAAGTTTCAATGGCGAATCCACCATGGGATTCGCTACATAGAGTTAGCCGTGGGCATATATTCTCAGCTCTTGATTATATGTCCGGTGTTATGGTTATTTCTCATTTTGAATGTTTTGGGCTGTTAGGCAATAGTTATGGCTTGAGATTAATTGATATAGCTAGGAAAATTCTAGTGTCATTTTATGTGATCGCATATGTTCTTGTCTATTTTTTCAAACTTTCATGTTTTTTTCATACTTGGTTAATTTCATAATGTTCTATTATTGATTTATCAGGTTTGAAAATCTATCATTTATAATTACTTAGTAGAGTTTTTTTTACCACATATACAGAATTCGAACCAAAGTTACTAAGTTATGGATGAACCTAGTAATTACCTTCTACATCCGCGACAGAAGCCCTTGAAGATGCTAGACCAGGGATGCCGCTTTAGCTAAGTCAAGATTACGTTCTTGTTTTTGTTTTTCTTCTATGTATATTTTTGTAGTGTTAACACTTCGAATGAAATTAATTAATACGGATAAGACCCATCAAAATATTCTTTTCAAAAGAAAATTGGTCCATGTAATCTTATTTATTATTTGTCTAATATTTTATATTGTTATATTAATAAGATAATATATTGATAATACTGTTGGAGTAACTTTTTAAAATATGTATATCGTGATGACATATGAAGTGATCTGCCACCCTTACAAAATCACAAAAATATGTTAAAAAGCTTATTAGCATATCTGAAGGATACCAACGAATAGCTTTTAACCACAAATTATAACACTAACAACTGCTCCCTCCGTTTCATATTAGATGAGATAGTTTAACTCGGCACGGAGTTTAAGAAAAAAGAAGAAGACTTTTGAAACTTGTAGTCTTAAAAGCTTAAGAGGTAAAAAGTTTGTGGGACCATGATATTTGTGTGGCTATAAAAGTTTCTCATTAAGGGTAAATGGGTAAAATGAAAGAGTTTAAAGTTGCATTATTTCCAAATTTAGAAATGTGTCATTTGTTTTGAAACATATTAAAAAGGAAAGTACATCATCTAACATGAAACAGAGGGAGTAAGACCCTCATGAAAACTGAAAACTTTAGGTAATACGAGAATTACTTTACAGAGTATATTTTCATAAATTTTTCATTATCCAAGAAAAATAAGTAGCAAAAACCCAATAAATCAAATCGTAATATAATGATGTGAGATAAAAATTAAGAAAGAACATTTGGAGAAGATCAACCTGTTGTGAAACTGCTTAATACATTTTAATATTTTTATTTTAGGGTTCTCGTTTTAATTATTTTTTCCTTTATATTATCAGTGTCGGGTATGTGGGCTAAATGGTTCTCATATTTTTGGGTGAGAAGTGGACCTACAAATAAGTGATCTGGTCATTTAAACAATGTGCAAAATTTTTAATCGAATACATACATTTTTAGATGAGATGACTTTTAAATCAATTGGTGAATAATTGTATGATTTTAATGTGATAAAATAAAGAATAATAACTTAATTGTAAGACTTTATGTGATAAAGTAAAGAATAATTACTTTTTTGCAGTAGACTAATACTTAAATAACCATCCACGAAATTTTCCCAGCAAAACTAATGTCCAATACACTAAAGTAGCTGTAATTATCAACAATCAGAATACTTTTGAGTGGGATGAGTTAGCACTGCGCATAGATTCTCAGCTTTTGATTATATTTTATTTCGAACAACATTGAGGGATTGTGATCCATGAAACAAAAAGAAAATAAAAAAAATTACTATATGTATATAATTACAACAAAAAAATTGAAAGGATAGGGGAGTCACAACTCCCAACCAAGGGAGTCGTTATGTTTACTATGTCCCCTTATTCATGACATGCTATGATGCCCCGGGATAGTCTCGCGAAGATCTTTGATCCGAACATTTGCATCTACTCACTCTTAGAGGATGAACCACGCATTCGCTATCGAAGAATATAGCAATCGAAGAGCTATGGCTAGGGCTGTCTAAGGGGAGGGAAGTACTTGAATTGGTACCGGTACGATAGCTCCGTACCGGTCTAGTTTGGGTGTAGGGTTTGGACTGGTAGGGTACCGAAAAAAGTACCGATAGAATTTGTTCAGTTGGTACCCTTAAGGTACCGGTTCAGTACCTTCCCAGTCCCCATTTCATTTACCCTTTTGTACAATTAGCCAACTGTTATTTTTTTAAAAATAGTCGTTGGCAACGACCAAATGGCTATTTTTGCTTTCCTAGCCCCCTAAACACCCCCTACCCCCTAATTTATATTTTTAACCTCTAAGTTTATTCAAATACATTTTGGCCCTATTTTAAAACTATAAATACCCCATTTCATTCTTTCAATTTTTGCATAAAACTCTCTTATCTCTCTAATTCTCCATCTCTCTCTATCTCTAATTACAATTAACCTTCTATCATTATTATTAAGTTTCGGATTTATTTTTCAAGAATAGGAACATGTGAAGGGCGGGTATGGAGTTTGGGTAGGGGAGCCCGGGGAATTAGAGGAGGAATAGATTTTTGTCATACGTATGTTGTTATTTATTGTTATTTTAATTATTTATTATTAAAAATAACTCCTAAACTGGTTAAAAATCCTAGTCAGTCCGGGTTTATTCGTTACATACAAGAGACATATAATATTGCTTTTCAAGGTTTTTCTAGAACAACTATTAGAAATAATGTTTGTGATGATAAAGAGAATGAAGGCTTGCTGAAATATTGGATTAAAGCGGAGAGAAAAAACTTTGACTTTCCAGAAATAATTCAAGAAGACAACGATGCATATAGTGAAATACTATCTACTAGAGACACCAGGAATGCAGAAGAACAAGTGCTATCAATTTCAAGAGAAGAACCAATAAAAGTTATTGAAAAATTCCATAAATCGTTCAAAAGAATTTGTAATTTTATTTTGATAAGTATTAAAATAAAAGTATTGAATTTTTTTGCATTCATTAAAGTTTGTTTGTATTTAAATATAATATTTTTTAAAATTTTAATTTAAAAATACCCCTAAGTACCTTTACCGTCCCCTTAAGTACCCATTCCTTAGGACTAGTAGGGGTACTGGTACAGTACCCATAAAAATATCTTTACTCGTACCGTTAAATCCCCTTAACCAAAGTCCTCTTAACGAA